GACGTGGTAGAAATGCCTGTTTTGGGCCTCCCCCCCTCGCGCGGTCCATCAACAAGGAACAGTAAGCAGCACGAAGTCAACAAGGAAGAGTAAGCAGCAAGAAGCAGGACGGTCACAGTGGAAACTGGAAGCTGCAACAGGTACAGGAAACTGCGAACCTCCGGCCTGCAGCCTGGTGGCCCCACAAGGGGGCCGGCGGATTTGTCCTCCTCCTCCTCCTCGTTTTTGCCCTCCTCGGGAGCCTCCCGCTGCCTCGGAGGCCTCCCACGCCGCATCCTCCTCTTCCTCTTGGTCGGTCTGTCGGTCGATGAGGGTCACACACGTCATTGAAGTCCATGCAGCATGAACAAGGGCTAGAGCAAGTGGGTGGGGAACAGTGCGCCAAGACGCGAGAGAGTGCGCAGCCGAGCAGTTATACAGAAGGCTTGCCTTGCTCTCCGCCGGCCCCTGGGAGCCCAATTCCTGCAGTACAGCACCTCTTCCTCGTATCCTCGTATCCTCCTCCTCCTCCCCCTCCTCCTCCTCCTCCTCCTCCTCCTCCTCCTCCTCCTCCTCCTCCTCCTCCTCCTCCTCCTCCCTCCTCCTCCTCCTCCTCCTCCCCCTCCTCCTCCTCCTCCCCCCCTCTCCTCCTCCTCCTCCTCCTCCTCCTCCTCCTCCTCCTTCTCCTCCTCCTCTCCTCCTCCTCCTCCTCCTCCTCCTCCTCCTCCTCCTCCTCATCATCATCATCATCATCATCATCATCATCATCATCATCATCATCATCATCTCATCATCATCATCATCATCATCATCATCATCATCATCATCATCATCATCATCCATCATCATCATCATCATCATCATCATCATCATCATCATCAATCATCATCATCATCATCATCATCAATCATCATCCCCCCCTCCTCTCCCCCTCCTCCTCCTCCTCCTCCTCCCTCACTCCTCCTCCTCTCCCCTTCTCCTCCTCCTCCTCCTCCTCCACCTCCTCCTCCTCCCCCTCCTCCTCCTCCTCCTCCTCCTCCTCCTCCTCCTCCTCCTCCTCCTCCTCGTCCTCCTCGTCCTCCTCCTCCTCGTCGTCGTCGTCCTCCTCCTGGGCTCCCATGTCTGGCTCAAGGCGTCGCGTCCTCGGAGAGACCAGCAGCAGACACAGGCTCGGCTGCCGAGGGTGGGCGGGGAGCTCGGCCGGCATTGCCGCGAGCGCCCGCTGCCGCCTTTGGCGAGAGATCCGCCACCCCTCACTGGCCCGGGTGGCCTTGCCTGGCCCCCAGAACAGTGTGATCGTTTTCTTATTTCATCGCTTCGCTCATGCCGCCGGCCCTGGAGCGCTATTTGGGGCCTCTTGGAGCCGTCTGGGGGCCTCTTGGGGGCTTCTTGGGAGCGTCTTGGGGCTCCTTGGCGGCGTCTTGGGCTCCCCTGGGGCCTCTTGCGGGGCTCTTGGGGGCCCCTTGGGGCGGGAGGGGGGGTAGTCGATTGCAGCCACCCCCTCGGAGGCCGCGATCCTCGTGAGGGGTGGCGAAAAATAGCCGCCCCCCGGGGATCGCCCGGGACCCTGCCGGGGATCGGCCCGGGTACTTTTAGTCCCGGGGCCCCCAGTGGCCGCCCCTCGCGCGCGAACTAGAAGTATTGTTAAGTAGTTACCGGAGATCTTAGCACGCCTCTGGCCCGTTGGGCCAGCGAATTCATTGTTTTGCCGATCGGCGCGGGCCCTCGCACCCCCCCCCCCCTCCTCCCCCCCTTCCCCTGGAGCAGACCTTGGCTGCTTCTGGCGCCTGTCTCGAGCAGAGGGAGCTCCTCCCCCAGAGGGCGCCCTTCTGCAAACGGCCGCACGCAGCAGAGGCCCGGGGCCAGACCCTCCTCCCCCCTCCCCTCCCTTTCCGCCCGGCGTCGAAGCGCCGAAGAAGAGAACGCTCACGAGGCGAGGCGAGCTCTTCCTCGACGTCGCCGAGGGAGGAGCAGCGGCACGGGCACGGGCACCGAGCTTCTGCGGCTGCGCGCCCACCTCGGAGCCGGGAGCAGTGGGCTCTCTCTCTCTCTCTCTCTGTGAGCCACCGGGGGCCCTGGCGGCCCATGTCGCTCGCAGGTGTCGGAGACAAGCAGGCAACCTTCTGATCCGCGGGTCGAGGGCGAGCCTCTTCCGGTCGAAGCTGAGCGGGCCCGCGCACAGCGGTAATTCACGGAGGAGGGAAAAAAGAAGGCGGGGCCTCGACGAGGGTATCAAGGATGTCTTCGAAAACCTCTCTGACATGGTTACCGCTTTCAAGCGCAAAAAAAATGCCACAAGTAAGCAGCACTCATGCAGCACATGCAGTGGGTTTGTCTGGGGGCCAGAGGAGGGGGTCGTCGGTAGGAGTAGCCCCAGAGGGGGCAGGGAGGGCGGCCCAAACTCAGGAGGGAATAAAAACACACAGACACAACTGATCCTCGATTCCCCAGAAGATATGGGAAACTATGGGAGGTGGGGGGGAAGACAGAAACCCAGAAAATGTGGGAAAGTAGGGGAATCCTGTTATTTGTGTGTATTTATTTGTGTGTCCCAGGGCCCCTTCACAAACGGAAATCCGTTTTCGTTTTGGTGTGAGGAGTTTGGGGGTCCACCTGTTGCTTTGAATTCTTTACGCTTCGCGTATCCCCACCAGCCCATCTCACAACAGCAACTCATGCGAAGCATGCCGACAATCGTGTTTTTCAGGCGTGTGTCCGTTTGGCCCCGCATATCTCCCCTGTTCCTCCTTCCTCCCGCCTCCTTGTACATCCTCCTTGTGGGGGGAGCGGGAGAAGGACGAGGCGGAGGAGGAGGGAGAGAAAGCGCTCCTCGTGATTTGAGTCGTTTGGGGTTTCTCGTCCTGGTGTGAGTCGTTCGGGCCCTTCTTCCTGGTGTGAGTCGTTCGGGCTCTTCGTGGTGTGAGTCGTTCGGGCTCTTCGTCCTGGTGTGAGTCGTTCGGGCTTCTCGTGGTGTGAGTTGTTCGGGCCCCTCATCCTGGTGTGAGTCGTTCGGGCCCCTCCTCCTGGTGTGACTCGTTCGGGCTCCTCGTGGTGTGAGTCGTTCGGGGCCCGCGTCGTGGTGTGAGTCGTTCGGGCTCCTCGTGGTGTGAGTCGTTCGGGCGCCTCGTCCTGGTGTGAGTCGTTCGGGCCCCTCCTTGTGGTGTGACTCGTTCGGGCTCTTCGTGGTGTGAGTCGTTCGGGCCCCTCGTCCTGGTGTGAGTCGTTCGGGCTCCTCGTGGGGCCTCTTGGGGGCCTCTTGGAGCCTCTTGGGGGCCTCTTGGGGGCCTCTTGGGGGCCTCTTGGGGGCCTCCTGGGGCTGGGGCTCTGGGGGCCTCTTGGGGGCCTCTTGGGGGCCTCTTGGGGGCCTCTTGGGGCCTCTTTGGGGCCTCTTGGGGGCCTCTTGGGAGCCTCTTGGGAGGCTCCTGGGGGCCTCTTGGGGCCATCTTGGGGCCTCTTGCGACCTCCTCAGAAGCGCAAAGAAGCGCTGCCCACTGAGAAGGACAAAATGAGCCCAAAACCTTCGTAAAATCAATAGTTTTGCTATGAAGGAAGATGAGCGCGGCCCCCTCGGGAGGCCAAAATGGGGCCACAACTCTTGTAAAAGCAAGGATTTTGGCTTCACAGAAGAGGAGAGGTTTTTTCTGGATCCCCCCTGTCGGGGCCAGAATCCTCGTGAGGGTCGTCGTTTTTTTTTGCCCTCCCAGGAGTCGAAAAAGACCCCTCCAACCACCCGCGGCCCGCCCTCTCCAGACCCAGAGGGCGTAGGGGGAGGGGTAAACCCCTCCCCGAAGGGGAAGAAGGGGGGTTGAGGACAGAGGGGGCTCGCTAAACCACTCACGCCCTAAAGGGCTGGTGGGATTATGTTTGGGTTAAGTTGTGGCTCCAGATTCCCAACTTTTGGTATGCACTGGAGAGCGTCGTTTGCTTCACATTATTGCATCTACGTCGGTTTTCGGACTTTCTTGTCCGATGGGTTTGGCGTGATTGTCGGCTTCGGCCTGTGCCCCAGGGCGTCGGCACTCGTGTATGTTACATACAGGTGTCAGAAAACAATTCAGCAACGCTCATGCAGAACAGGTGGTTTGAACTCCCCCACCCTTCCCCCAAAACGCAATGCTGGTTTCGGATCCTCCTCAGTTTGGGCCTCCGAGTGGTCTTCCAGGAACGTGCCAACATTGAATTGCGGGGGGGGGGGAGTCCCTCAACCGTATGGCCATGCTGGAGTTCATCAGCTGGAAGAAGGGGGCCCTCATTCTACACCACCTCGGAGCCCGAACATTGACATCTTGGGGCCATCCTGGGACTCTCTGTGAGCAACTGGGGGCTCTTGGGCTTAGAGCCTTCATGGATCCCCTTGGGGCCTGCTTGCGCCAAGTCGAGGCCATCTGGAGGCCTGGGTCTCCTTGGAAGCTGAGAGGGGGAGAAAGCAAACGGCATTATAAGCTTTAGACTTAAATCGGGCGTGTCCCTCTACAGGAAGAATATCCAAAAATAGTACAAAAATTGTCAGGGGACAATTTTCTTTCTGACAATTTTTGAATATTCTTGAAGTATGTTCGGGGTATTTTTGATTTTTCCTCCAAAATCCCCTCTGTAGGGGGGCTCGCCCGACCTAACTTTCGACTCTTGACTCGATTTTGACCGACCTTGGTCACGCCGGAGCCGCCTGCGGGACCTCCGGAGACCTCTCGCGGCCTCTCGGAGCCAAGCTGGAGGCCGTCCGGGTCAACCTGGACCCTCTGGTGCAATCTAGGAGGCAATGCAGGGCTGTCTGGGGTCATTCTGGAGCTATCTTGGCTCCTCCTCCTCCTCCTCCTCCTCCTCCAGATTCTGCCGGCCCGCGACCATCCACCCTGGTTAATTAGGCCCCTTCCTGAAGGCGGAGTCTGGGATGTTCTGCGAGAGCCGATCCGCTAAACAACCCATGCCCACAGGGCCGGTGGGATGCCATAGACTTCGAGAGGATCGAAGAGGAGTGCTCGCACCTCTTGCCCCGCCTGCCCCCTGCATGCCGAGCGCAGGCGCCGGAGCTGGCGGAGGGCACCGCGGCAGCGCAGGCGCCGGAGCTGGCGGAGGGCACCGCGGCGGCGGATGACGCCGCTCCTGTCCTGCAGGAGAGCGCCGGGGCCGTGCCAGAGGCTCTCTGCTGCATGGGGGGTTGCCGCCGTGCCTGCCGTCTCTTGGACAGGAGGGGGGCGCGTTTCGGACGTCGGGGCGTTGTCTTGAGGATCGGCATGCTCTCTGCGATTCTCTGAGAGCTCGGTGGTTGGCGCCCGCACCTCTTGCCCCGCCTGCCTCCTGCATGCCGAGCGCAGGCGCCGGAGCTGGCGGAGGGCACCGCGGCGGCGGACGACGCCGCTCCTGTCCTGCAGGAGAGCGCAGGGGCCGTGCCAGAGGCTCCCTGCTGCATGGGGGGTTGCCGCCGTGCCTGCCGTCTCTTGGACAGGAGGGGGGCGCGTTTCGGACGTCGGGGCGTTGTCTTGAGGATCGGCATGCTCTCTGCGATTCTCTGAGAGCTCGGGGGCTGGCGCTCGCACCTCTTGCCCCGCCTTCCCCCTGCATGCCGAGCGCAGGCGCCGGAGCTGGCGGAGGGCACCGCGGCGGCGGACGACGCCGCTCCTGTCCTGCAGGAGAGCGCAGGGGCCGTGCCAGAGGCTCCCTGCTGCATGGGGGATTGCCGCCATGCCTGCCGTCTCTTGGACAGGGGAGGGGGGCGCGCTTCGGACGTCGGGGCGTTGTCTTGAGGTCGGCATGCTCTCTGCGATTCTCTGAGAGCTCGGGGGCTGGCGCCCGCACCTCTTGCCCCGCCTGCCCCCTGCATGCCGAGCGCAGGCGCCGGAGCCGGCGGAGGGCACCGCGGCGGCGGACGACGCCGCTCCTGTCCTGCAAGAGAGCGCCGGGGCCGTGCCAGAGGCTCCCTGCTGTATAGGGGGGTTGCCGCCGTGCCTGCCGTCTCTTGGACAGGGGAGGGGGTCGCGTTTCGGACGTCGGGGCGCTGTCTTGAGGATCGACATGCTCTCTGCGACGCCGAGCGCAGGCGCCGGAGCTGGCGGAGGGGACCGCGGCGGCGGACGACGCCGCTCCTGTCCTGCAGGAGAGCGGGGTCTGCCTGAGGTTTCGGCTCTGCTTGCTCACGCCCGGAGCGAGCGTGGTGCGTGGCATGCCCGTGCCGTCTCGGCGCGGCGGCGACGGCTGGCGCTGGCGTTCGACGTCGAGAGCCCTGCTGGGGGGGCTCATTCCAGGCCCCTGAGGCCGGTCAGCGGCGAGCGAGGGGGGGAAGGGAGAAGGAGGAGACCTTCTCAGAAGGTTCGGAGGTCCCCCGGCATTCTGGGAAGTGTCCTAAGCCATCCCCGGAGACCAGAAAAGCTTCTCAGAGGGCGCGAGGGCTTCTGAGAAGTCCCGCCGCCCCCTGAGAAGGCCTTCTCCTCCTGATTTCTCCCTTAGGGCAGCGAGTCCTCGACAGGAGACAGCGCGAGGCGGCGGGTTCTTCGGACGAAGGCTAACTTGTTTGCCGCCTTTCATGTGATGCACGTGTGATGCGATGACTTCGTTAGTCGGTGTGGTGCTGCCGGGCCGATTCCGGCGCTCGGGCCGGCGTTCGAGCCGGCGCCCGCGCCGGATGCTTGGGCCGGCGCCCAGGCCGGCGCCCAGGCCGGGTCCGGAGCCGGTTCCGGCCGGCGCCGAAAATCGAGTTCCGAGGCGGCGCTGACAAAAGGTCATTCCAGTGCGCATTTTTCTTTCGAAAATGCTGAATTTCTGCTGCCGGTGTCGGGCTCGCTCGCTGCCGAGCCCAGGGAACGGCGCGCGGCGCGGAGGTCCACGCCGGAGGTGGGGTCGAGAGCCTGCGGGGGGCCTCCGAGAGAGGAGGCCGTGCCAGGCGGAGCGGCTCGCGCGGCGTCGGCCGCCGGAGGGTTCCTCCGAAGGGCTTAGGCGACCCGTCCTCTCTCCTCCTCTCTCCTCCTCTCTCCTCCTCCTCCTCCCTCCTCCTCCTCCTCCTCCTCCTCCTCCTCCTCCTCCTCCTCCTCCTCCTCCTCCTCCTCCTCCTCCTCCTCCTCCTC